ACCTAAGTACAGTGAATTGTGGCACCTAAGACGACTCAGCCACCCTTGCCCACAGAACATAAAAGACTTCATGATCCACATCAGCTGTGGCAGCAGGGAGACAGGCTATATTGGACTGGGAAGTATCCTTTTCTGGAATACTGTCTCCACCAAGTTTATTCCTGTGATGTCGCAATGATTGTAGACCCGCCCACATAAATTAGTGAAACAGCACAGCCTTTGAGAGGGAGAGGAGAGGAAGGGGGAGGTTTTGAAGAAGAAAGGGATATTAAGTGACTGACTGAGTGAGTGAGTGAGTTTGTCTTCTTAAGGAGCATTAATTCCAGTCATAAAACAGCAATGAGTGAGTGAGTGAGTGAGTGAGTATGGTTTTACACTGCTTTTAGCAATATTCCAGCAATATCACGGCATTGGACACCAGAAATGGGCTTCACACATTGTACCCATGTCAGAAATCGAACCTGGGTCTTAAGCATGTTGAGTGAACGCTTTAACCACTAGGCTACCTGATCGACCCCAGACCATAACAGGCCAATGTCAATTTCAGTCACAAGTCTCACAGACGACCCTAAGATTCCGCTACAATAACAAGGGAAAAGGGAAAGCTCAACTTGACATCTACATTCCTTTCAAACTGAGGCAGTAACACTGAAACATGATACATATTACCTGCACTGTGGAGTATAACAAAGTGTTATACATCAAAGCAATTCCAGCTAGGCAATAATTGTTAAAAATAGATTCATCGGAATATATACAATAAAGTTATTGCAGTGTGAATTTCGAGACAGACAGATGTTTAGCATTGCATGAAATACCAGTCCCAAGCCGAATTCTGTGTTAAAATTACCAATAATCTGCATCTAAAATTACAAAATTCTGAGGTTAAAGCATAATATTTCCCCTACATTAATACAAACTCATTTATACATTCTAATCTCTGACATGTGTCTGACATTTATTTCTGAAGTCGTATACCATGTAAACATTAAAAAGTGAGAATGATATATTTCAAATTTTGTTTTATTGTAGGATTCATATTTTGTATGTTTCAATCGCATATTATATGTTTGGGCATCAATTGAGGACATTTCTGTAGAAAAGCTTGAAAATAATCAAAATTGGTGTATTGATAAAAAAAAGCAAATATTATTATTTTTATGGTAAGTTACATTTTCAGCAGATTTTTTGGCGATCGCAGAATCTCAGAATAGTCTGGGACTGTACTACATTTGATAGAGGTCAGTAGGAAATATGGTACCACTGTGCGAAGTGGGGGGAAGTCAGGGTTACGTATAGTTGCGTATAGTAACTGCTTTATTGTAAAAGATTTGTATTGATAATATATAGGATACAGGTATTTGTTCTGCGATACGTATTGCAATATACTAGGAGCGAAAATATTGAGAGTGATTGACACTGATTGGACATGCAGATCCTATTTTCTATATATTAATCAACATGGTCAGTCACTGTTATTTTGTAGTCATGGATACAGGGGAGATAAGAACATGAGAGAAAAATCACTTCTGTGTTTCTAATGTTTTGCCAATCAATTTCTAAAGGAAACATCATTTGGAATGACTTTTTATGTAGATATTAGGTTAAAAAGATACCAATAATAACAAAACCTGTTGTATTATTTTTACCCAATATAGCATAACACAGAAAACATATTACAATATGTTTATCATTTGAAACGTGTGCTGCAGTACTAATCAGTGTACGCAGAAAACACTAGAACATATCGTACAGAAAAAAACAGTTGTTTAATTATCTTAATAAAAATATAATAAAAAGGAGCACAGATACTCTCTTCATTCCTGATACTGCAGTAATCTAGACTTGCCAAACATTATGGACTTGCATGGGCTGTATTGGATATATTTGCATCAGGGTCTGTAAGACAGACTAATAAAACACCCACAAACCTCACACATTTTATCCATGTTGACAATTGAACCAAGGATTTGTGCTACGAGCAAATGCTTTAACGACAGACTTCCCTACAATAAGGATCTGAATGTCCTGAAATCTGACTTGCGAAATCGGACAATATTTGCTTTGTCAAAGATAACTGCTTAGATTGTAATAGCAAATAAAATTTTAAAGATATATGAAGGTAACTGCTTTCCAGCTGTGCATAAGTTGCCGGGTACGAACAATCTAGAGATTATTGAATGAGTGACATCGACTTTATGAAAAGTGTCATAATTGTTGTGTTTAAAAAAACACACACGAATGAAATAATCTCTATCAATGACACTTTATAATCAGCTGTAGTGAGATGCCGTGAAAAGGGGTTTAACATAGCGCTCAAGATTATTTCACTTATATAGCGACAAGCATGCACACGTCTGCTGCTTGTACTAGTCCGGACTATCCACTGGACCATGATGTGGACTCAGCTGTTGATGCAGCCAGGGATCAAACCACCGGGTTTTGTTTGTTTGTTTGTTTGATTAACGCTGCACTCAGTAATATTCCAGCTATATGATGGCGGTCTGTGTAAATAATCAAGTCTGGACCAGAAAATCCAGTGATTGATATCCATACATATACGATGACATGCAGCGAACCTGACCACCCAAATCCGTTAGTTACCTTTCACGACAAGCACAGTCGCCTTTTATGGCAAGTATGAGCTGCTGAAGACCTATTCTACCCCGGATCTTCATGGGTCTCAAACCACAGGGTAGACTCTGCTATACTACTGAAGTAGTAGAGGCTTCTATACTGACTCAGCTTTACTATTAAAGTAGTAGAGGCTTCTATACTGACTCAGCTATACTATTAAAGTAGTAGAGGCTTCAGTACTGACTCAGCTATACTATTAAAGTAGTAGAGGCTTCTATACTGACTCAGCCATACTATTAAAGTAGTAGAGGCTTCTATACTGACTCAGCTTTACTATTAAAGTAGTAGAGGCTTCTATACTGACTCAGCTATACTATTCTGTACTGAAACCAACGTTGAGAAGCTGGCATTGTCCATGAGAAATCAACAGGCAGTCATTACAATTGTCACGTCATTACACTGTACATCAACAATTACGGCAATCGTTATTACGCTGTATGGATTTTTACACAAAGGTAGAAACACACAGACAATAAATACAGATTATCTCGCTTGTTATCCCAGAACAAACAAGCGTATTAACCTCCTTATCATGTAATGTAATTCTTAAATTCCAAATTGAAAGCAAAATCTCTGCCATACAGTACCTAAACATCACAAGTTTTCCTGGAATGTACTCATTAATATATTACATCAATGTTTAACCTTTCAAAGAAAATATTTAAAAAAACGCCATATCTTTGTCAGTGATTGTCTTTCACAGCATTCCATAGGTCCACCAGCCAAAGCTGGTTTGGGTATCTTAGACTATTATTTGATCATAACAATTATCCGAGTTACTTATCAAAAACTTGATGGTCAAATTTTACTCAATCAACCCTAGACAAGGGCAAAGCTACGTTTGTTTGAAAACACTGAAAGTAGTACCAACAAGACTTCTTTTATTTGCATATTTATGACCATAGCTGCTTTATCCCGTCAAGAAACCAACCCATTACAGGATAAATTGTAACATTACTTGTATGTGATTACAAGTCCTTCCATACCATCATGCTAGTCAAGATACACTCAACAGTTAGTTCACATGTCCAAGAGGGGTAAGGAACTGACATCACACAAACTACTCATCTTTAGATAGGAGTACCAAGATTTATCAAATATATCAAATATTTCAAATATCAAACAGCCTATGGAGATACGTACTGTTATTGAAATAAAGCTAACATGGCAACAGACACATTTGTATGACACCTTCAAGCAGCCGGACACACACATTCTTGGGCTGGGATGGGTAACTCGAGTAATCGGGTCGGCTGGGTACTGAGTAGGACCCGGGTACCCACAGGCTAGTCACATGATTATATTGTTTAATGGCAAAATTATCTTGAACTCTATGGTTACACTATAAATGACAAATGTTTCTCATTTCTTTCTGACTATGCACACATTCCTTCTGACTTTGTTTGCATAAAGATAAAACTTCAGTGTATGCATGACCAGATTGGTACATATGTGGATCTAAATACACTGTGACAGGAGTATGGTCAATTGTTTCCTATCTGACATTTTATACCTATCTCTCGAGACCTACAGCGGGTACCCGAGTAGGGTAGGGTAGGGTAGGGTAGGGTAGGGTAGGGTAGGGTAGGGTAGGGTAATAGGGGGTTGGGTACCCGGTTAGTAAATTTTGACTCATCCAAGCCCTAATATAGTCCCACTCTAGACACATAATCCCATCAAGCACATGCACATCATCCGAATCCAAATTACTGACTTTCTATGTATAAGTGACAGACGGAAATTCAGAAACTGTCAAATATATCCTTTTTAAATCAAATCAATAATCTTTTGTAAAATAAAATATCCTGAAAGATCAAAGCTTTAAATTAAAAATTCAGAGACTATCAAATTTATCATTTAAAAATCAAAATCAAATACTTTTACGGTGGACAAAATGTTTGGAACAGAAATAAAATGTCGTCCCTTCTCAAGGAGTTGAATTTGCTGAGCATGTTCTCTTCACAGGACTCAATATACGGGGAGTGGAGTATCATACCTGTAACTAGATACCACAAGCTTCTCCATGCACGAGTGAGGCGAGTGATAACAGGGTTGTTTGACTTTTAGTAAACAGATTCTAATCAATACTTCCCATGCAGTCATTCACGGATCAAGCCACAAAATGGTGTGTCACAAGGTTTGGTGACTTGAAGCAACGTGGGTGGCACCCTCTAGGTGCAGGACTCAAGTGTTTCTTCGCTGGAACTAGTGTCACCGACAGCCAAATACTGACCTAGCATCCTCTCTACATGGCCAAGTGGGATCACATTAATACATGCCAGAATTCACTCTCATGTTGTACATTACCTCTGGGCTGGCATGCGGTGGAAATGGCAACATCTATAAAGGGAGATAACTCTTACCTCTTCTGCCCATATTTGTAAAGCTGTTAATTTCCATGGCTATTTCATGGGAGCCAATTGTGTCTGGAACAACACAAACAAACACGATAATATAACACCATGAACCATTGCAACATCGTCAAATACAAAACTGAATCAACGTAAGAAAAAAAGCATTCTGTGAAGATGTTCACCATCAGACATAATGTTGTGATGTCATGGTAACCTGTGGGATGTTGCAAAGGGGAACGGGTCCTAATTTATCAACTATCCATCAGGGTACCAAAAAGGTTGGATGGTCGAATATGAGCGAGTATATTTTATTGCCTCTCTTAGCAACAGCCCAGCAATATCACAGCAGAAGACACCAGAAACAGGCTTCACATATTGTACACATGTGAAGAATCGAACTCAGGCCTTTGGTATGGAGGGGGCACAGATGGCCAAGTCGTCTAAGGCGCCGCGATTCGCTGTGCAGAGTTGCGTCCCTTGGGCACACCAGAAACCTATGATTATGGGTTCGAATCCTGGTTCACCATGATTATGTTTCTAGGTTTGTCAGCACCATACCAATGCTCATGGGTTTCACTGAAGTGGTAAACGTCTGAGATCTGCATCACTTCGGGCTTTCCTCCCACATTAAGCTGACACGCCGTGATATAACTTGAATACTGTTAAAAGAGGCGTTAAACCCAACCCACTCACTCACTCTGGCACTGAGAGAAATACCTCAACTACTTGGTCCCCAAACTCCCATCCCCAAATCCCCTTTTATAATTTATCTAGGAGACAGTGTAGTGACTAGGACACTGCTCAAGAGAGAGACACGTTCACACAAACACTAAGAGCTCATGTGCCTAAAAACAAAGTGTCATATGTGCTGCTTCTTATCTCCAACCCCAACCAGCAAGAGGGTGGGCGGGGGAAATAATAATAAAAGCTAAAAAATATATATATAAAAAATTCCACCAATAGTGTAACTTATGTATGACATTTTAAAGTTCAGAACAATTGGTACCAGTCGTTACATTAATTAATGACGTACAATGAGTCGGTTTGCTTCGGAAACAAATTCTTTATAAACATATCTGAAGAAAGATCAAGCTGACCTGAGGATTTTATGAGTCTGCAATGGCAGGGGTATTTTTTTTTATCACATCGGGGGATACATTTCCACAGCGGCAGGGAACATAGTGATAAGAAAACTTTTCGTATTTTATGTCAGAATGAAAATTCACGGTGGGCGGGCAGATGGGAAAGAAAGAAAAAAATAGGTATAGCCTCAAATCACCTCATTCCCAAAATTTGTCTCTATTAAAATGTTTTTATTTCTATTACTTGATCTCAGTGCTATGAATGTCATGTCAAGAATGGGAGTTATGATTGTCTTAGTGCAAAGATTGCTTTGTGGCACTAGGTCCAGTTCTGTTTTGTTCTAATTTCATATTCTTAAGAAGATTGAGGTGAACCATAATTCAATTCTAGTTCATTATTTAGTAAGAATGAAATTGTCATATGATTCTATTCTGCCGAGGACAAGCATCCTTACTTGTCTGATCACTTTCTTAACTGAGATCAAAAAAGGAACTAAAATATGTCAAATGTCCCGACATTTGAATTCAAGCGACTTCCTTCCAATGGAGCAGCAAAGCGAAAGTGTGTTAAGTGTTCAAATACTTGTAAGGTTTCCCCCATCAACAAGCATCCTATATCAAAGTAAGCCAAGACACTTTGGACCAGAGTATTGTATTCTAGCCAACATTATTTCGCAACACACAACCTGACTGAAGTACTTGCCCAGACAAGAATGGAAATATTTTCCTGTTCATTATGTACATACAAGCTGATACAAACCAATGCTTTTGGTATCTTACTGATTTCGGCCCAAAAGCTTAGGTCATTAGGTAAATAAATCATAAAAATAAAATTCCATTTTCAAATATTTCTTTTGATTTCCTCAAAATGCTAAGTAGGTAGGAAGAAAAAATGAGGTCCAGGGTTTTTGGGACAGGTTAAAAAGGTTTTAATTATAGTATTTTTAATCATTTATTTATATTGACAGTGATACTAAATGAGTTTGGCTTCTACATTTTACTATATATCTGCTCAAAGGAATAAAGAAAACAATGGTTTTCATTTTCAAATATTTTTTTTTCACATTTCAATTTTTTTAAATTGGTGGATTGGTAAACAAAGTTTTAAAAATTGTCTGTCCATGTTATCCATAAAGAACTATCAGTCACTCATGAATGAGAGAGTGAGTGAGTGAGTTGGGTTTAACGCTGCTTTTAACAGTATTCCAGTTATATCGCGACGTGTCAGCTTAATGTGGGAGGAAAGCCCAAAGTGATGCAGGTCTCAGACGTTTACCACTTCGGTGAAACCCACGAGCACGGGTATGGTGCTGACAAACCTAGAAACATAATCGGGGCGAACCCGGATTCGAACCCACAATCATAGGTTTCTGGCGTGCCCAAGGGACACAACTCTGCACAGCGAATCGCGGTTCTTTAGACGACTGTGCCACCCGTGCCCCTTACTCATGAATGAGAGAGCAGATAAAGACACTGTTGACGAAACTACTATAATTCAAGAAACTGCAAGCAAACACAGAAATAAATGTCTAAATGTCCACACAATCCAGTTGAAGCAGTTGGCATGAAACATTGGTTTGGTTATAGACTGAGTAAATGGCACCAAAAGACAAACTCTGTAAACCATTAAATTAATGAAATTGGGTCATATACGATAATAATTAAACAAGCCCTATGCTACAATTAACTTTAAATTACTCTTGTCAACAACCATTAACAGCAAGAATAAGTCTGATCATCAAACAACATAATCACATAAAGTCCATGGACTTTAAAGTAATCACATTTCAGAATTCACACCTTGACATGAACACGTCCTTACATAATTCTTCCACAGTGAGAAGAACACAGCATTACCTATGCTGTGCCCACTGCCACACAATTTGTGATTTGTGTCACGACAAATATCTCCCCAGGCCCCACATGATATCACATATCTTGTCCCCACCCCACCTACTTCTCTGCCCCACCCCTCGTATGATCTTGAAGATCTTGTCCCCCACCCCACCTCCCTCTCTGCCCCACCCCTCGTATGATCTTGAAGATCTTGTCCCCACCCCACCTACTTCTCTGCCCCACCCCTTGTATGATCTTGAAGATCTTGTCCCCACCCCACCTACTTCTCTGCCCCACCCCTTGTATGATCTTGAAGATCTTGTCCCCAACCCACCTACTTCTCTGCCCCACCCCTCGTATGATCTTGAAGATCTTGTCCCACCCCTGATATCTCAATGTTGACTATGACATCAGTTAAGTGACTTCAAAAACGTCAGTATCCATTGTCCTTTAACGGTACCAAAAATTTCGAAATGTCTCTTCAGCCAAGTAACTGTCTTGCGAAGAGAGAGAGAGAGAGAGAGAGAGAGAGAGATATCCACTAAAAAAGCTGTTAATATGAGAGGAATGAGGAGAGAGAATATTGAGGAAGTGGAAGATAGAGAAAATGGGAGACAGAAAAGAATGAGAGAAGGAGATAGAGAATGACAGGATGACAAGAAAGAAGAATGACAGGAGAAGAAAGAAAAGAAGAAGAAAGGAAAATAAAGTGAAAAGTATGAGAATGGAGATAGAAGGAGAGTGGAAGGTCCAGGGTTCGATCCCCGGCCGCGTCATACCAAAAGACGTTAAAAGATGGTACTTGTTGTTACCCTGTCTGGCGCTTGGCATTAAAGGGCTAAAACAAGGACTGGTCAGCTCAGAGTCAGTATACTGTGTCTGAGTGGGGTATCCATGTTAAACTGCGGCATGGTATCTCAGTGAGCTAGCACTATAAATCGGCATCAGTCCGGACTAGTACAAGCAGCCACACACACACATACATGTGCATGCACGTCGCTATTTAAGTGCAATAATCTTGGATGCGACGTTAAACCCAATTTCACCTCACCTCTTCCAGGAATAGTACAAGAGGGGACATGAAGAACTGACGTTACACAGAGTACCACATTGGGAATGAAACTCCGGTCTCCGTGTGACTGCCAACACTCTTACTGCTTAGCTCCCCAATGGCACAGCTGAATCAAAGGCCTGAGTCCATGGGGGAAAAAATGCACTTTCAAGAAAGAAATAATATCTTCAGAAATCCTTATTTTTATTATACAACCCTTTTAGAGACCACTTCTTCTATTTCAGATAAATGTCACGGATATCTTCGACAAGCAGATTAATGGAATTGTCACGCCCCCGCCCCCAGATTCGACATCATGATTCATCCCCTCTTGACAAATTATTGATGAGTTGTTGGGAGCTCATTACAGACATATGACAAAACAGTTGGCAGTGTGTTGCTTTGCAAGTAATCTTCCCCAAGTGATTGAACCAGGTAACAATCCACCCTCCTCTCCATGGTTAGACTAACATATAGTCTCTGAAATGAACATATCGTACAGAAAAAAACAGTTGTTCAGTTATCTTAATAAAAATCTAATAGAAAGGGAGCCCAGTGATTCTCTTCATTTTCAGATTTAATCTAGACTTGCCAAACATTACAGACTTGCATGGGCTGTAGTTGATATAAATGTATCAGGGTCTGTAAGACAGACTACTCCATGGTATCACTGTTTCCATGCCAGTCCGTGTCAACTACACTTCAAGAGCCTCATCTTGTCTCCTGCCATCATATCACTAGGTTTCAGTGTTAACATATGGACTATTATTAGCCCAGCTTAAACAACCCAGCTTATTAGACTGGTGTTCCATTAGTTCTTGAGTGCTTCTAACTCATACACCAACAGGTTCGGCCTACACTGGAAGCCTGTGCACAGTTTCAAGTTGTCACAGGGGGCTGTTGCGTAACATTTTGTCACGACATGATACAGATCTGGGTATGTACTTCGATGGTGATGTCAAGATACATTTCTAACAAATAAAATGAATTGTAAGGATAAGAATTTATGGAAGAACAACTTCTTTATTACAATTAAGAGCGATGTTTCGGTTTAGGTATCAAGCAAGTGAGTCGGTTGATGGTTGAGACTGCCACGTCTCCATGATGACGATGAATAACTTCTTTGATAGGCATTTAGAAGTTGGAGTTCTAAGTAAGGCTAAAATTGGTTGGGGTGGGGGTCTATGGATAGTATGCTTTAGTCAACGGCTCCCCACCCCACCCCACCCCACCCCACCCAGCCCTACCTTAATAAATGACCAGTCCCAATGCTTGCATCATTTTGTATCAGTACACAACAAGTATCATAGCACAGAGTATTGTTATGCACCAGACTTTAGTGCAAGCTATTCCAGCTCTAGTAGTACAGCTGACCTGTTTGAGTCATTCACGGGGTATATATATCTCCACTCAGAAGTACACAGGTATATATATTGTAAAGAGTGTCACGTTTTTCTACTCTGCGGTACACAGGTATATATTAGGGCTGCAACGAATACACTATGAGGCGAATACGATTCGTATCATGAATATAGGGTAACGAATACGAATATTAATTCACAAATACAATAACACGTCAGAAGTTGATGTATTATTTGTCATATTCAGCATGTTCAGTGAGGCAACAACAACATGAATTATTTGACATGGTTTGTTAATTTTTAATATATTATTAATATATTATTCATTTATATACTGCACTTATCCAGGTACTAGTATCTGCTCAAATGCAACAATGACCAGTGACCACAATACTGTCAAATTAAATAGTATAAGAGTATTGTCTTTTATACATAAAATATGTTCTTATAGGTATTTTGTTATGTAAATGCATATGCTTGCATATTCATAAATATTCGATTCTAGTGGCCACGAATGACGAATTCAATTCATAAATGGATAGGGTTCCATTCACCGAATACGCGAGTGAATCGTAAGCCCTAGTATATATAGAATAAAGGGTGTCATGTTTTCTACACAGAAGTACACAGGTAAATATAGTAAAAGGTGTCATGTTTTCTACTCAGCAGTACACAGGTATATATATAGTAAAGGGTGTCATGTTTTCTACTCAGCGGTACACAGGTATATATAGTAAAGGGTGTCATGTTTTCTACACAGAAGTACACAGGTAAATATAGTAAAAGGTGTCATGTTTTCTACTCAGCAGTACACAGGTATATATATAGTAAAGGGTGTCATGTTTTCTACTCAGCGGTACACAGGTATACATAGTAAAGGGTGTCATGTTTTCAACTCAGCGGTACACAGGTATATATAGTAAAGGGTGTCATGTTTTCAACTCAGCGGTACCGTTTGGGTTGCTCGCCATCCCTGTCTACTTCCACCTACTTCAACACTCTCCTGACTCACGCAACATCTCTAAATATAACAACCTCATGCTCCTTGTACCACTAGGCCTACAACTCCTCCAATAATGTTTCTTCTGTTACTGCAGTGCTTGATCTTTCTCCACCACATAAGCCAGTATCAATAGTGTCACCCTCACTCACCTAGTCCCCATGCACCCCTCGCCTAGCACCACCTACACTAATCCCTCTACCAACACTGCCACTGCACCATACCAACATCCACACCAACATCCACACCAAGCCCCCCTAACACCATCCCCTATGCTTGTAACTATGAAAGATGCTACTGTCAAATAATATTAACAACTTCTTTTAAGTGAAACTCTATCTCCATTCTCATTCTTTTCTCTTTATTTTCCTTTCTTCTTCTTTTCTTTCTTCTCCTGTCATTCTTCTTTCCTGTCATCCTGTCATTCTCTATCTCCTTCTTTTCTCTGTCTTCCATTTCCTCAATATTCTCACTCTCCTCATTCTTGTTATATTAACAGCTTTTTTAGTGGATATCTCTCTCTCTCTCTCTCTCTCTCTCTCTCTCTCCAATAAGGAGTATACATCTATACATCTTCCTCCGCAGATCAACAAACAGCACTTGTTTAACAACACTTAGCATGCATATACAGACAACCTCACCCCGTCTCTACCCCAGTACCCCTCCTCCCTCGTACTTACCCAGAGGTGCTCCCTCCTCAGCATGTATATACAGACAACCTCACCCCGTCTCTACCCCAGTACCCCTCCCTCGTACTTACCCAGAGGTGCTCCCTCCTCAGCATGTATATACAGACAACCTCACCCCGTCTCTACCCCAGTACCCCTCCCTCGTACTTACCCAGAGGTGCTCCCTCCTCAAAGCAGCTTGATACATCCACCATTTACATGTAGTTTCTGACACACAACATACAGAGCTGGCACCCATCTAATACTGGTCCATCAGTCTTTTAACTGGAGCTGCCCATTTCACAACAAGGAAGGGAGCGCCACAAAAACACTGACCCACTTTTGGAGGCAGCTAGAGAAAATTCTAAACCGATCTGCTGTTTACAACATACAACCAGAGTCAACAGAACACTAATGAGATTTGCTGCAATTGCCAGGCTGGAATGGACTCTTCCATATGCTGCCACACCCCATCCTGACCCCCCTTTTCCATTTTCTAAATGGAATCCTCCAGCTGCCATATTCTGGTCTATTATTGGGTGAAGAGGCTAAAAATAGCGCTGTGACCTTTCCCAAGAAACAAGATGGAGTGAGCCTAGAGAGGATTGAAGAAAAAATCAATACTCCTACTGCCGCCTTGAACGCGAAACTAGTCTAATTCATGCAGCAAAGGAAACAACAACCCTTCAAATCGATCAAGAAAACTGGTCTTGGGTAAATAAGGATGGTTTCCACAGAGGCAAATGTCTCCATAACAATCATGCTGGTAAAAATAGCCGATCATTATTACAATTATGTTTCAATAAATCTATAAATAACCTGAAGTGGCTATTTCAGACCCATGTTTCAGTTCACGGGAGCAACATCTCAGGGAGTCATGTCTCCTGATAATCCCCTTCAGCATCGTATACTCCTCCATGTTTGAATTCCAGTGTCAGATCCCTATAGATAAGATACTACATCTATTACCCTGATACATATAGCCACAATCCTGCATCCCACACAGTAGACACTAACAGGTCATGTTTCACAACACTGGTAGCAATATCTCGGGAATGGATATCTTGCGCTAGAAATCAAACTGGCACCATCCTTGGACTCTTTCAAGAAACAGATTAAACCCCACCTTTTCCGAAAGCAATAATGCATTTCAAGCTTTTGAAGGCTTCACATCGTTGCTCCTGTTATGATAATTACAGATATTTTACATCTGGAGCTTACTTCACAAACTATTCGTCAAACAGCAATACAATAAATGTATACTACAAAAACAAAGTTAAGGCCCACGTGATTGTTTTATATTACTATAGTTAATCTGGCATGGAATGGCAGAATCAGTGGTCCTTGACTTTTTTTTAATAGTATATTTGTTTGTTTGTATGTTTGTTTATTGTTTAACGCCGCACTCAGCAATATTGCAGCTATATGACAGCGGTCTGTAAATAACCAGACAATCCAGTGATTGACATCATGAGCATCAATCCACGCAATTGGGATCGATGACATGCATCAACCAAGTCAGCGAGCCTTACCACCTAATCCCGTTAGTCGCCTCTTACGACAAGCATAGTCACCTTTTATGGCAAGCATGTGTTGCTGAAGATCTATTCTACCCCGGATCTTCACCGGTCTTAATAGTATATACATATATAACATGAAATAGCCAGTGCCTGTTATGAGGAATGACCAGCAATTGTAAATTGATAGTTGCAGTCCTAATGCATCTTGAAGCATCCCCACGGAATCATAAACACATTTTGAAATGAGTGAGTGAGTGAGTTGGGTTTAACACCGTTTTTAATGGTATTACAGTTATATTACAGTGTGTCAGCTTAATGTGGGAGGAAAGCCTGATGTGATGCAGGTTTCAGATGTTTACCACTTCGGTGAAACCCACGAGCACGGGTATGGTGCTGACAAACCTAGAAACATAATCGGGGCGAACCCGGATTCGAACCCACAATCATAGGTTTCTGGCGTTCCCAAACTCTGCACAGCGATCGCGGCACCTTAGACGACTGGGCCACCCGTGCCCCCCATTTTGAAATGAGTTGTCGACTGTACAAGACACAGACAAAATATCAAATAGATATTTTAAGAAAGACTAAGTACTAAGTACTAAGAGACTGCTTTCTATAATTCTATTTGATGTTATACTGTACTATGGGAGTGCTTTCTATAATTCTATTTGATGACATTTAAGGAATCAGAATTAATAACCAAAATACCTTTGACAAAAAAATATAGATCTTATTTTCTAAAATTATTTTTTAAATTGTAATGTTTAAACTTTTATTCAGTACCTCCTTCCCCTCCAACTCTCTCTCTCAACTAAACAAAGCATGGTATTCTTTCATAATATGCTTTCTTAATGCATCGAGTTTCTCTTTGAAATGGTTCATTGTAATCAGTCAAGTGTGCGAGAATGCAATGAGACGCAAAATAGCCGCGACAAGCGGCATGTTCATCTCATATTCCCATTATGTATGTTTTATTGTGAAGAACAGTTCATTCATGTGGAAGTTAAAAGATTGTCGTAATAATCAGTGACTTAAAGTATTGCAAGAGCAGTTGCAGAAAATGAAAAATTCATTTTTGAAAGAAACAATAACTGTTATGTTTAAATGTTCAGACGTTTCATCGCATTCTTGTCTTCTTTAGCCGTTTGTAGAATTGTTGATACAACAAATGACAACAGAGGGTTACACACAGAATATATATGCTACCACAGGGGACGTCATTGACGTTTCTTGGTGTTTGTAATCTACTGACGGGAAGTGGGACTGACACAATAACAGGGAGCATTGGGAGCCAGGGAGGTGGGACTGACACAATAACAGGACGCATTGGGAGCCAGGGAAGTGGGACTGACACAATAACAGGGAGCATTGGGAGCCAGGGAAGTGGGACTGACACAATAACAGGGAGCATTGGGAGCCAGGGAAGTGGGACTGACACAATAACAGGGAGCATTGGGAGCCAGGGAAGTGGGACTGACACAATAACAGGGAGCATTGGGAGCCAGGGAAATGGGACTGACACAATAACAGGGAGCATTGGGAGCCAGGGAGGTGGGACTGACACAATAACAGGAAGCATTGGGAGCCAGGGAAGTGGGACTGACACAATAACAGGGAGCCAGGGAAGTGGGACTGACACAATAACAGGGAGCATTGGGAGCCAGGGAAGTGGGACTGACACAATAACAGGGAGCATTGGGAGCCAGGGAAATGGGACTGACACAATAACAGGGAGCATTGGGAACCAGGGAAGTGGGACTGACACAATAACAGGGAGCATTGGGAGCCAGGGAAGTGGAACTGACACAATCACAGGGAGCATTGGGAGCCAGGGAAGTGGGACTGACACAATAACAGGGAGGATTGGGAGCCAGGGAAGTGGGACTGACACAATAACAGGGAGCATTGGGAGCCAGGGAAGTGGGACTGACACAATCACAGGGAGCATTGGGAGCCAGGGAAGTGGGACTGACACAATAACTGGGAGCCCTTTGAAGCTTTGGGTACTGGAGACAAAGTGTTGCAATAACCAGGAATCTTTGGAGCTAGGGATACAGGGTCGTGATCTACCCATGAATGACAAGCTACCTAGACAACAGTTCTGCACTACAGGCACCTGGTGGTGGTCAGACACGTTGACACAGATACTGTGTAACTTGGCTGAGCAGACTGCAGTAAATGTCAGTCACAAATGTTGCACTTCAGACTACAGTAGGGCAGGGTTAGCCTGTCTCCCTTAGATTTCACCTGCTACTCAGGGCAGAAATGTGCTTGCAGTTAGGAACTATTGCAAAGGGTTGGATAGATTGAGACATGTCTTCACAGATGAACTCATCTGTCTCAGTGAAGAAAAAACAAACAGTCCCACAGATAATGGACCAGTCTCCCAGATCAACAGACGAACAGTTTCACAGAGGAAGAGACTAACAAACAGTCTCCCAGATCAACAGACTGACAGTTTAACAGATGAAGAAACTGACTAACAGTCCCACAGATAATGGTCAAGTCTCCCAGATCAACAGACGGACAGTTTCACAGATGAAGAAACTGACAAACAGTCCCACAGATAATAGACAGACACTCTCACAGAGGAACTGAATGACAAATAGTCGTATGGATGAGGAGATAGACACTCTCTCAGAGGAACTGACTGACAAATAGTCGTATGGATGAGGAGATAGACACTCTCTCAGAGGAACTGACTGACAAAAAGTCGTATGGATGAGGAGATAGACACTCTCTCAGAGGAACTGACTGACAAATAGTCATATGGATGAGGAGATAGACACTCTCTCAGAGGAACTGACTGACAAAAAGTCGTATGGATGAGGAGATAGACACTCTCTCAGAGGAACTGACTGACAAAAAGTCGTATGGATGAGGAGATAGACACTCTCTCAGAGGAACTGACTGACAAATAGTCGTATGGATGAGGAGACTGATATTCTCTCAGAGGAACAGACTGACAAATAGTCCCACAGAGGAATAAGTTGACAAAGACTTACAGTCTCCAACATCAAAACAAGATCAACTCAAACTAGCACAGTGACTGGTAATTCGACATAAAATCCTGAATCCGATCTCAAACAGCATCATTACCTAAAGTAAGAAGAGTACGTGAGAAGTAGGGAGGTCAAGATCATGAATATCAAAAGATTTCTTCAAAGACATCGGACACTAATTCGAAATTTTACACCTGCATGCAAAGAGAAATAGCTGATCTGTCGTAATCCCTGAGAGAAGAATTCCTCATTTCCAAATCCTTACACGATCACTTCAAGCAGTTTACTTTAGCTGAATTCAAGCAAAGTTTAATCTCCATATTCAAATTCCACACACCTGGAATTGTGTCATAATCTTGTTTTAAAGATGGCCGACATGGTAGCTTTCCCTACGTCTGCTCCGATGGTGATATCTATTTTGTCAGTTTGCATGGACAAAATCATCATAAAATCTATCAAATACACTTCTCTATCATTCTGAACTTAGCAACAATGCTCAATTCCTAAATGCAAAAATATTTACACGCACTGAAACTTCACACTGCTCGTCGGCAGAGTCTTGTCAACTGATCTTTAAGCTGTTTGAAGATTTGTTTGCGGGGTAAATAGCGACGTTTGTAAGCTAGTGAGACTTGCCATGTCACTTTGTTTTTGCCTCCTCTTTCACAGTGTACTCAAAACAAATCGCGGATATTCCAAAAGTAAACAATTTCTTTTACAAATTTCCTATTAGAGATTATGATGGTAGTGTGTTTCATCAGCTACTAAACTTAGAAGAGGCATCTGTTTCTTAGACCTCTGTTTCCTGTGCTCCACAACAAACTGACACTGGAGTGAGATGAGATGAGATGTGTCTTGCACGACTGCAGAATGAGTGAGTAAGTGAATGTTGTTTAAGTTTCAGTACATTCCTGCTCTATCATGGTGGAGTCAAACAATCGGAGTCAATGCCAGACGACATATCATGACATAATAAGCAACATGTATATATGCTTATAATGAACTGCAATTACAACAAACAAAAACTGGTGGTCCCTTTGACGTTTTGTATAACCATAATTTACTGCAGTCCATCTGGATTGTTACTAACGGATTACTGGCTGTGTCTATCCCTGTGTCCCCATGGCCAGCAATACCGTGCAAAACTGATATCCACCTGTCGATTCTGTGTCATCGTGAGACTTACACAAGTTTACAAAGAAGAGCTTCGGAGCATTCAGGCCTTCATGCTTGGAACTTTGACAAAACCGGTCTAATCCAGGTCAATATAAACATTGTTGCTATTTCAGGCCTGCATAGAGTCAATATTTGGAGCAAGTGACCAGTCGTTTGTGTAGCAGTCAGGAATTTAACATCATATCAAACAGACAGCGAATAAACGCGAGTACCACCACAACAAACTACAAAGTGAGTGGTATGCTAGCTCATGATGTGTCACGGACAGCATAAACAACATCATCAGACCATCCGCATAAACATTTCTCAAAACACTTCCATAACCTGACAGCATAATATTATTTAATACACCTGAAAATGAAACATGTGAAAATATTCAAAAGATCTGTATAAAACTGAATCTTGTTTTGTTTGTTATTTAACGCTGCACTGTTATTATTCCAGCTATAAGACAGTGGTCTGTAAATAATCGAGTCTGAACCAGACAATCCAGTGATTGATATCATGAGCATTGATCTATGCAATTGGGATACAATGGCATGCATCCACCAAGTCAGTGAGCCTGACCACCCGATCCCGTTAGTCGCCTCTTATGACGAACACAACACCGGACCTATATTTCATGAAAGAAAACTTTAATTCA